GTTGATGCTACTCTGCAGGTGTCCAGGGGTCCCCTCCTGACCATGCCTGCCCTTTCACCCTTGTAAAGTTCTATGTGTCCATTCTTTATTTGACATATTGTGGTTTTGCCACTGAGTCCAAGATCCTAAAGCTTTTCTCATATGCTTTCTCCTGAAATATGACCTTACGTGTACATCTGCATCCAGTGCAGTTTCAGTCCATTTTTAGATAGAATGTGAAGCATAGGTAAGGGTTTACTTTTTGGCCTGCAAGTGTTCACATGCCCTGGTGCTATGAAAGTCACTCGGGCATATTTGTGTGGGCCCCTGTTGTGTTCTGTTTTCTGTGTTTAGTCTTCTGCTGACAGTCGAGTCTTAATTACTGCAGCTGTAGTTGTCCTGAATCAGCTATCCCAGTCCCCCATTTCTTCTGTAATAAGGTATAATTGATACTCAAGTAAGGCCCCCCAAGTGGGGAGATAAACAAAAAACAAGAAACCTACATGTATTTTATGTATATAATTTGGCAAGTTTCAACTACTTCGTTCCTATTGAGCATTACTTCAGGCATTTTAATTCTTTTGCCCTTCCACATAATTTTAGCATGTTTTTGAGCATATGTATCTACAAAGATTCTCGCTAGCATTTTGATAGGAACTGTGCTAAACTTAGATGTCCATTTGGGGAAAATGGATATCTTTAGTCTGTTGGGTCTTCCAACTTCTGAGCACAGTGTCTCATTTCTTGGCTCATTTCCATCAACATGTTGTTGTTTGCGACATTTGAGTGTGACACGTTTCTTTCTATATTTACACCTACGTGTTTGTCATCAGTTATAAATGGTAGCATAACATTTTGGTGCTCATGTCTGTGATATAGGAATACAATGACTTTTGTATGTTTCTTGTGTGGTTGAACTTGCTAAGGGCCCTGTTCATTCTGCAGGTTTCTCTGTGGAGTCTACAGAGACCACTGTGCTCTTTGCAAATGGGCTAGTCGGTGACCTCCTTTCTGATTTGGATGCTTGTTCTTGCCCATTTGGCTTTACTGTATGGTGAAACAGGGCTGAGTATGACTCCAAGAGCCTGTGTCTTGACTTTTTTCATCATGAAGTAGAAGGTCACCTATAGGTCACAGGACCTGTGTCCCTTCACCCCCACCTGCCACCCGTCTTTCCCATCTTCCTTCTCCATTCCAGACTCCCTCTTTTTTGTCAAAGTTTTATAGATTCCCTCTTATTCCTGTTTCCAAGTTTTTTTTTAATTAATATATCATGAATGGGCACTGAATTTTATCAGTCATTGATTTTTCAAATACTCAATTAGTTTGCATTCCTGGAATATACTGCTACTGTAATTCATTTTTGAATACTGCTAAATTTTCTCTGCTGCCAGCTGTTAAGGACTTTTGCATATCTATTTATAAGGGATATTGGTAGTTTTCTGTGAAGTCTTGGTTTGGGAACAAAGGTAACACTAATTTCACAGAATGAGTTGAGAAGTGTCCCTTCTGAGTCTATTTTCTGCAAGAAATTGTGTAAAATTACTGTGAATTCATTTTCAAATTTGGAGATGTCTTCATTAAAACCAACTGGGCCTGGAAGGTTCTGCTTTGGGAGTTTTAACAGGAAGAAAGCAGTCTCCTTGTTTCTGGGCTGGGAGCTGACACACTGTGTGTCTTTGGGGATCCATTTGTGGTAGTGTCTAAGTAGGGAGCTGCCATTGCCCTTGCTTGCTGTCTTTCCTTGTCTCTGGGGTTTCCATCGATAATCTGACTCATTCATTGTTGTTTTTCTTTGTCAGTCCATGTTGCTTTTATTTTATATTTTGGTGGTGTTGAGTGAACCCAAGGCCTTAATAATGGAGCTATAGTCCAACACCCAGTGCCAGTGTTATTTATTAATCTTTTACAAACCACTAGCACTTCTCTCTTTTGCTTTGGCTTCCATTGACTGGTGTTTATTTCCTTCTGTTTGCTTTGGTCTAGCTGGTTTCTCACAGGGGTTCCTGAGGCGAGAGGTTGATTATTGGTTAGAGATTCTCACTTTTATCTCCCCACACTTCCCTCTCAGCTCTGCCTCAGCGGCATCCCACATGCTCTGCCGTGTTGAGTTTTAAATTGTCTCTTGATATTTTCATGTGCCCTATGGATTATTGAAGAATGTGCTGTTTAGTTTTCAAGTGTTTGCATATTTTCTTGCTGTCTTTCCACGATCAATTTATAGTGTGTGTGGGTGGAGGACAGGTGCTGTGTGGTTTTACTTAAGTGTTTGGGGTTGTCTGATAGACTAGCATAAGGCTCTCTGGATAATGTTCTGTGTACCTTCGAAGAGATTGGATGCTGTGTTCCTGTGGGAAGAGGGTTCTATCTGTATCAAATTCAATGGCTTCTTGGTATCATCAAATTCTATGTTCTTGTGAACTCCCTCCCTGCCTCCCTGCCTCCCTGCCTCCCTGCCTCCCTGCCTCCCTGCCTCCCTGCCTCCCTGCCTCCCTGCCTCCCTCCTTCCTTCCCCCTCTTTTTTCTTACTTCCTGCTAAGGATGGAACTTGAGCTCTCCACTACTGAACTCCTTCTCCCACCATCCTTGCTGACTTGCTACCTAGTGCTCTGTCATACATTGAGAGAGAGGTAGGGTGGATGAGTTTCCCCCTTCATCTCTATAAGTTTTTTGCTTCTCACACTCTGAAGTTCTTGTCGGTGTATTCATGTGAGAACCACCCTTCTTCCTGGTGGTTTGGTCCTCTTGTAACATGCCCTTCTCTCTGGGATGCTGTGGTCATGTCCATCACAGAACAGGAATTGCAGGATGATTCACATTGTGTTTTTATCTTCATGCTACTTACTCCTCCATCTCCCGAGGTCCCATTGCAGAGGCTACCTTTGGATTTATTTATTTGTTTATTATTTTTAATCAGCTACTGTATGGTGGTGGTGGTTTGAAGCATCTGTCTGGCTCTTATCCACTCTTTCTGTGCTGGGATTTTACATGTCTCCATTGTTTCCAAGCCTGTCCAAGAACTCCTGTGTTGGGTGCTTCTGATGGCCTTGCCATTGCTGGTACTGGCATCTGTGATAACTACTTTTCACCCAGTTTGCTATTCTTGGGGTTCTTTGTGAGTTTTGGTTTGGGCTGGCTTCCCTAGTTTCTGTCCAACTTGGGTCAAGGATCATTTTGTCATTCTGTCTCTATTAACACTGAAGGATATACTATGTAGCCTTGCATCAGACTTGCATCACTCCACCTTCCCTGGCCTGCTGGCATCACAAGTCATGCCTCTGTGCCTAGCACATTGCTGTGAGATGACAGGGTGGTTCCTCCTCCCAATTCCTTCTTCTTACATTGTCACCATTCTGAGATGTGGGTACCTCATACTGCTGGGGTTCTGTGGGCTCTCTGGCTCCATCCCCTGTATGATTCACCCCTATATAGAGAGAGGGTGGCTACTTCCTTGCAACTTTTGGGAAAAGGAAGCAGGTTTCCAAGTGGACCTTTGCTGTAGGGCATAATAGTCTTTGCAGCATATGGCTCCAGCAGAGTCATTGTCTGAGGACTTTCAGTCTTTGGGAGCTGCCTGGTACCCAATCCTTTAGCTGGAGAAACAGGCTTTTGTGTGGCGAGTGGCTTTGTCTGGGTGCCTTGGTATTCCTAGGTTACTTCTTCTATTCTAAGAGGGAGCATCTTGCTGTGTCTTTGTTCCTACGCTGAGTTTTCAGAAGCAATTCTATTTAGTTGGTTTTATTTGCTTTATTCTTTGAGCCCAAGTTCCCCTTTTTGGTGGGAGAGAGACAGGGTCTCATGTGTCTCAGGTCAATCTCAAACTCACTGTGAGCCAAGATGACTTTGAGCTTCAATTTTTCTGTCTTCCTCCCTCCTTCTCCAGTGTGGGAATTACAGGCAGGGACCACCGCACCTGGCTTCAGTGGGATCAAACCCAGGCTTTGTACATGTTGGCAGAGCCACTCTGTTATGATAAAGCTCGAGGGGGACCTTGGTGGATTCCATGGCAGGTGAGGGTGGCCCAGGCAGTGGGCGGGGGAGGCACCCAGGCAGACAGAGCTTAAGTGAGAACTTTTATTAGAAAGGGGAGGGAGGGGGAAGGAAAGAGAAAAGAGACAGAGAGACAGAGAGAGGACAGAAGAGAAGAGGGAGACAGGAAAAGTGCTGTCTACTTTAGGGGAACAGTGGGGAAGAGAGTAGGGGGAAAGAGAGAGGGAAAACATAGGAGCAGGGAAGATGGTGTGTGTGTAAAGAGCTGGAAAGAGAGTGTAAGTGGGCTGAGGGGGTCTGTCTTTCAAAGGCATCCTTTGCACCTTTGGGCAGACTAGTATCCATGGAACCCTGGGCTGACCAGGGTACTGTCTGAGTTCATTCTGCCAGGTGACAGGGGCAGGCCAGCATAATGCCTGAGTCTTTATACACTCTACTGACTGAGCTACCCTTCAGCTCCCAAGCTTCCATAGTTGCTCTAGGGAGGGGTCCTTTTCACAGGAAGAGAAATTCTGTGCACAGATGGAGGATGGACTGTCTTACCCACTTGCCCCCATTTCTCAGGGAAGGCGAGCAAATGAGCCCAGCACAGTTTGAAATGATCCTCGGTGAGTCTATGAGACTGAGCTCCAAGCAAGTAGGCCCCGTGTTCTTTCTTCACTGCTGGATGCCCAGGGCCTACTACACCACACTGCACTGTTCCTATCACAGAACGATAAATATGTAAATATTGGTTGAATAAAGTTGCTTAATTCTCCTGCTCAGCTTCTCACATATACAATAGGCTAGAGAGAGAGAAGCAAACAAACAAGGTGGCATTTAGAAATGAGCAAGACAATAAAATGCAGCTCAAGTATTTAGTGCACTACTCAGCTTACGCACTTGTGTTACCATGCTCACACAAATTCTCCAGTCCTCCTTCAGCATCTGGTACCTTGGCTAATGAGTGTTTGCCATTGGCAGGTATCAGCTGGTGAGATGGTTCTATTAAATACTAACACTGTCTCTCTTGGCCATGTTTTTCTGGACAGGTCCTGCAGCTGGGCTCAGACATCCTTCCTCAGTACAAGCAGGAGGCACCAAAGACACCCCCTCACATCATCTTACACTACTGTGTCTTTAAGACCACCTGGGATTGGATCATCTTGATCTTGACCTTCTACACAGCCATCCTGGTCCCTTACAACGTCTCCTTTAAAACCAGACAGAATAATGTGGCCTGGCTGGTGGTAGACAGCATCGTGGATGTCATCTTTTTAGTGGACATTGTTTTGAATTTTCATACCACCTTTGTCGGGCCAGCGGGGGAAGTGATATCTGACCCCAAACTTATCCGTATGAACTACCTGAAGACATGGTTTGTGATCGACCTTCTGTCCTGTTTGCCATATGACGTCATCAACGCTTTTGAGAACGTGGATGAGGTTAGTGCCTTTATGGGTGATCCAGGGAAGATTGGTTTTGCTGATGAGATTCCGCCACCACTGGAGGGGAGAGAGAGTCAGGTACATCCCTCAAATCTTGGACCTTGTTGTCATGTCTTTAAAGCTGAATGAAATGCGGGCGGTCAGCACAAGAATCACTGAGTGGGTGGGAGGCAGCATGAGCGATGACCACAACAGAGGGAGCATGTGCCATGGGTATCTTGCCTGCCGTTCCTGTCCGTTGGAGGCCCAGGGGTCCTGCATGTCAGTGAGGGGGTATGGAAGAGACCAAAGGCTCACTCTTCCTCCATGTGGAGTGTGGCTGCTGGTTCAGAGAGGGGAGGTGACAGAAGCAACCATGCATGGCCACCGCACCAGAGAGCCTTCCCTTTGGCATTGAACTGTTGTTGGATATTCTGAGGGTGGGGCCTTCTCTTTATCTGTCTGGACGCTGGCTGTTCCACAGGCTATTTACTCTCATTCTGTTTTCTGGGTAAATGGTGCAATGAGTTTGGAGGTGACTGTTTGTTGGGCAGCTCCGGTACATGCTGGGGTTGAGTGTGGTGGTTGTATGGTCTGTTGCTTTGGAATCTTAGTCTTGTAAATGATTTGCAACCATGCTGGGGAATAGGATGTGCTCTGGTAGACGCTGAATGGGTTTCTGTGGCAGGAAGGGGCCTTGGGACTGCTTAGGAGTGGGTATCTCCTTGGAAAAAGCAAGGATACCAAGTTACTTTGAGAACAGTATAGATTCCTATGCAGCTGGTGTTTGGTGGGAAGTTCTCCATTTCAGATTAAGATAAGGTGGCTTGCTTGATAAACCAGCATATTCAGCACTGGGATTATATTATCTCAGATGACAGAGGGTCAGGAGGATTAATTGTGGGTCTAGGCAGCCATTGGAGGCTGAGCTGAGGCATGGCACACACTTTGGGGAAAAGGGCAGCCAAGGAAGGAAGAATATACTCCCATCCATGGTAGGAATCCCTGGAATCACTGTGCGTCTGCCTTCAGCTCAGCATCAGCAGTTGCTGGGGACACCCGTTGCTTCCTGTAGGGAAATAAACAGCCATGCTATTCTCCCGTCGAGGGGTAGCTTTGCCACCAAATGCTGCAAAGGTGAGAATGTAGAGGATACAGCTTGATGCACATGCACACTCTTGATCCAGAACAGCCTCTGCTTTGTTGGTGTGCTATGTTTTAAAATACTATTTATTTTTGGAGACAGGGTCTTGTGTAGTTAGCCTGGTACTTGTAATGTAACTAGCTGGATTTAAACTTGTAATCCTCCTGCCTCAGCCTCCTCAGTGATGGTATTGCAGGTGTGTGCAAGCATTTCAAAGGCTAATTCCTGGGTGGCTTCTGAGTTTTGCAAGGAGAGTAAATGAGTCTGGACAGACTACAAGCTCAGAATCATCTCTGAAGGACATGTTGGCATTCTTCAATGTGAGTTGCAGTATGTATTGGGAGGTGCTTTTCCCTGTGAACACTTCTTCAAAAAATGTTGTGTCATTGGCTTGGATAATTCAAATGAATTATTATAATCTAAAGGAGCATTTCATATACACATGGGAAAGTAAATTTTTATTATAGAAAACAAATATTCCAACATTTGAGGGGCTGTGAGAACTCAGTGAGCAGTGTTTGTGAAAACAAGAGGGCCTGAGTTCAAATCCTGGTACACATGCAAAAAAGAAAAAAACAACAAACAAACAAATAAAAAAACAAAAAAACAAAAAAACAAAACAAATCCAAAAAACCAAGTTCTAGCTAGACTTGCTGGAATTGAGCTTTGGTTTCAGTAAGAGACCCTGTTTCAAAAAATAAGGTGGAGAGTGATAGAGTAAGACACCAGATGTCTTCCTCCAGCTTCTGTGTACTGTGAACACCTGTGTGGGTTCACACACGTACACCATACACACACATATACATACACAAATACATACAGACATGTCCACATAATATGCACACAAACACATATATGTATGTACTATACACACACCATACACACATGTCCACACACATTCACATGCGTATATACCATAAACACAACTCCACATACACACACACTATGCCATATACATACAGTATATATATGTACACACACACACACACACACACACACACACACACACACACACACATATATATATATATATATATATATATATATATATATGTACACATACTCATACAGCCACTTAGGGTAGTAAAATAAGCTGTGTGCTATTTATAGTGCTGGCATTTTGCAGCTAAATGGAACAAGTCTTCAGCTTCCTTGGGTTCACATTAGGATCTTGCAGGGCTATAAAGACGTATAAAAGCGTGACTCTGCAACCTGGAGGCTGACAGGACAGAGAGCTTGTCCTCAGGTACTGTGTGTGCTGGGTTGGAAAGCCTTTAATTTTCAGTACCCAGTGATGGGCTCTGACTTCCAGATTGGTGGGGTGGATTGGTAACGGGAAAGGTGTCTGTTATCTGCAGGCTTTGTGTTGGCAAAGGGTTTGGAACGTCATGATCATAAGCAGTAGTAGTTCCTGGATTAAGGTTTAAAGTTTTGGATGACTGCTCAAAGTATGCCTTTCACATCAATTGTGATATGAGGAAGATGGGGTTGGGTCCCAGGTCCTCCTGGGGTCACTGTGGTCACAGCTTCAGCCTGGTCCCTGTCACTCTGAGTTCCCTGTCACTTCCAAACTCACATTTGCTGGGCTCCCAGTCTATTCTGCATTGGCCTTACTCCTGCAGCCCTTTGTAAAGACAAGTGGCTTTGCCTCTGCCCTTTGACCCACAGTGCCATGGGAGGGAAGGGAAGGAGGTGGGGCATTTAGCAGATGGTGAATGGAGGTCACAGGTAAGAAGGCAGTCATGGAGACACCTATCCCACCCATGACCTTGTCACCTGCTCACTACTGGCCCCTGCTGCCTTCCGGATGGCAGAGCTGATGAAGCGGGAACCCACCACACTGACTTCTAATGTACGTGGGCACTCCTTTGCTTGTAAAATATGGGGAGAAGCTGGGTGTTGGGTACAGTGGGTTTGCTGGTGGGGAGGAGGCAGCTATGGTGTTGATCTGATACCCAGTGAGGGGCAGACCCACTGGTCCCCAGGGCCTCCCTTTTGGGAAAAGCTACCATTAGCACAATGGGAGGGAAGGGCCAGGCCTGTGGCAGGTAGAGGAGGTTGGGAGGCATCCCTCCAGTTTCCCCAAGACTGGAGTGAAGTCCCTTTAGTGTTCTGATTAATGGTTTGGTGGCTCATACCCCATGCCCGCCCAGACCTCACCTTTGGCTGAAGTTGTAGCATTCCTGGCCTAAGACTGTAGTCACCCTCTGGCCTAGAGTGTAAAAAGAATGTAGAAACCACTGACTTATTTGTCAATTTAAAAAGCACATGGAATTTAATTAACTGTCCCTGGTGACTTTTTAGTTATGCAACAGGCTATGTAGCAGTGGAGAGCACCAACAAGGAGGAGACAAGACAGCAGTGTCTTTGCTGTGCACGTGTGTGTGTGTGTGTGGTGGGGTGGTGGTGGTGGCAGGGAGTCTGTCTTGAAGGGAGAAAACTGGACCCAGCTCAGGTCTGGCTCAGGAAAGAGCTGGATAGATGGCTAGTGCTTGCGGTCTTGAATCTGGCTTGTGGATATCACCCTCCTGGTGGTTCAAGCTGAAAAGTGCCCCCTTTTGTTCCAACTTGCTTCGCTTATGTAGATGGCCTCCATTTGCATCCTTCTCTGTGGGTGATCATCTGCTCTGGAGGCTGCTTGGGAATATGTCTGCACATTACTTCAATGGGTTAAAGGACAAAAGATCTGGAAACTGGGTGAGCAGAAGCTTGGAAAGGTCATGTGGGAGCCCTTGGCAGATTGTGTTGACCTGGCATGCTTCCTGGATTACGTGTGTGTGTGTGTGTGTGTGTGTGTGTGTGTGTGTGTGTGTGATGAGGCCTTTCCCTCCCCTAAGGACACCTTGGTGCTTGTTGCTTTTGCAGCATGGAAGTGCAGAGGGAGAAAGGAGAAGGCCATGGTCTCTGGGACACTGTTTGGGTGTGTTGGCCAGAGGCATAGTCTTCCTCTTTGACTGAGTAGCATGTAGCAGCCCAACTAGCTGGTGCCAGGCTGATGTCACCAAGAGCAAGGCATGCTGATGATGGCAGCTTCTCTTCATCTTCTAAGAGCTTAAATGCTTTGCCCTGTGGGGAGTAACGATGTGGGAGGACAGTGACTTTACACTCTGTGGGGAGTAAAGAAGCTGCTAAAATGTGGGATGAGGATGATTTTCTACCAGGGTGTGACCCTGTACCTATCACTCTGCCTCCTTGGACTTGGTCTACCCCACTCTGCAGAGCAGGTGCTGTCCTTGTCTTGTAAGTAGGGGGAGGGACAATTTGTCCTTTTGTCTGGTGCCTGCTGCCTTGAGGCAGTGACCTGGTCTGTGGGCTCCCCCAGAGGATAGGCTGGCCTGGCCTGTGGGCTCCCCGTTTCTCAGTCTGGGCCTTCTCATGCTGCCTTGCTGGAGGATTGGGTAAAGTATGGAAGACCATACTTTAGTTCCTAGACCCTTGTTACCCGTCACTGCAAATCATTACTGCCTGGAAAACATAGTGGGTCAGCTTTCTGCTGTTAAAGATGCTGGCTACAGCCTGGTGCGGTGTTACAGACCTAAGGCAGGGGTTAGTGAGTTCAAGGCAAGCTTGGATATGTAGCAAAACCTTGCCACAAAAAAGTCAAACAAAATTAAAAACAACAACAACAAAAACAAAACAAAAAACAAAAGAAGTCTGGCTTTGTGTTGAAGGTTTCCATTCTCAGCTACTCAGGAGGCTGGAGCAGAAACTAGCCTAGCTTGAGACTAGCCTAGGCTCTATAGTGTAGCCTAGGCTATATAGGGAGACCCTCTCTCTGTCAACCTCACCCCTTCTCTTCTCAAAGTCAAGAACAGATTAACCCTCCAATCTCTCCATCCTCCCCTCTTTTCCACCCTCTGTTTGTATTTTTCCAACCCTTTACTTGTCCATACTTGATTCTGGACTGTTTTTTTTTTTTTTTTTTTTAACTTTTCTCCTACTTTCCCAATTTACT